AAAAGAGAGAGAAAAGAGAAAAACTCAAGCTCACTGAAGATAAGTAAACAGTCGGTGATGAAATAAAAATAAGAAACTAATTACAAGCAATAGGACAAAAGACTGGAATAAATAAATAAGAAATGCTACATACATTAATTTAATCAAAAACACTGCATAGTCTTCACTGTGTAATATGTAATTTACACAGTGAAGGCTATTCAGTGTTTTTGATTCAATTTCTTATTATTAAAGTTACAAACGTGATTTAGTTAAGAGCAGTGAGAGATTTAAGATGAATGACAGACCGGAGGAATAATAAGCAGCTTCCCCTTTAAGACCGAACATCTGGATCCAATATACTGTTACACATGCGTTTTCTTTCTCAGCTGTTTACTTTGACTTAAGACCTAAATGACTGTGTTTACGAGGATGCTTGCAAAGACGGACATTTTCATACATATAAGTATGTGTATTTTACCATTCAAGGCCAATAAAGCAAAAAATGAGCAGCGGATTCATTCAAAAACAGTGTGCAATATAGCACTGTTGTCTGCATTTAAACGGCTTAAAATCACTTGTTTTTAAACCACAATGCTTAAAAATGTGTGCAAACAATAGGGCCTTTCGCACCGCAGGAACCTTTTCATAGTACCAGAACTAATTGTGGAACTACCCACTTTTCGGCGTGTTCGCACCGCCGGAACTGGGAGCGATTTTAGTACCGGACTGCCTTTTTCGAGAACCAAATTAGCTCCTACTCCGGAGCAGGGTCTAACCAGCACAACTGGTACTAATCGTGACGTAAGTAGACATTGATTGGCCAAAACACCGCTCACAAATGACGTCGCTGTCGACCGGCTTACCTCACTTCTTAGTACACACTGTTGGTGCGAATACAACCCTTTAAATGGTACTGGGAAATAGTTTGCGCAAAATCGTCCCAGTACTTTAGTACCGTACATTTAGTTCTGGAACTAAAGCGGTGCGAAAGGGCCTAATACATTTTCGTGACAGCAATGTAACTTGAGTGCATAACCTTTCCTTTCACAACTACAGGAGCTGAGAGTGATCCCTTGTGCTCACCGATTCCACAAGAAATGTGTGGACCCTTGGCTACTTCAGCACCACACTTGTCCACACTGCAGGCACAATATTATTGGTAAGCATAAGATGCCGGTCCAAATGTATGGTCTGGAATCAGTTCATTTCTGACCTATGTGTTTTTACTTTCCACCCAGAACAAAAAAAGGGAAACCCAGGCTCTGTTTGTCTTGATCCGGGAAACCCAGTCCACAGCCGCCAGCAGAGAGTCGTCCTCCCTGTTCATTATCCAGGAAGGGTGCACAGAGCTGGGCAAGTGACGGCCTTCCCTACTCGGACCAGCATGGACCCCCATGGAAACCCCATCACTGTTCTAACAGTAGACCAACACCCTGAGCAAGGCATCTATCCTCCACAATCTTCCTTTATACGGGGTTACCCTGCCCTCCACTTGGAGCACACGCTAAACCCGCACCATTGCGGCCTGGAGCACCATGCTTATCCGCAAACCCATACTTTCAAACGCCCCAAATTCCACGGACGCAATTTTTCTCGTGCCGCCTGCTATTCCCAATACGAGACTATGTACCAGCACTACTATTTTCAGGGCTTGACCTTTCCGCAACCTGAAGGTCAGCAAGGTAATGGACTCCACAAAGGTCACAGTCGACCCTTCCAGCCAGGACTTTTGTATCCTACTGTGGTGCACATGGCACCGGCTTCCTCTTCCCGACTGGGCGACTCCGGAAGCTCCTCGGGACTTGGTTGTTATCACGGGCATCGCTCTGTGTGTAGCGGTTACCTTGCGGACTGTCCCGGAAGCAACAGCAGCAGCAGCTCGGGCCAGTGCCACTGCTCCTCCAGCGACTCCATGTTGGATTGTACGGAAGTCAGCAACCAGGGAGTATATGGGAGCTGCTCGACCTTCCGGAGTTCGCTAAGCAGCGATTACGATCCCTATGTGTACCGCAGTAAGAGTCCGTGTCGGGGTTCAGCCGGGGAGGCTGGGACAGCGTTTGCTGCCACCCCTCAAACTGATGATACTTTGGCCCCGGTATCAAGTATGAAGGACTGCCTACAACCTCCGATTGGAGCGTGTTACGGTTCTGGGGATCAGTTGTCCAACTGCAGCCTGGAGCCCAACTGTAGTAGCCACTCTTCGGTGGAAACCAGGGAACTTACTAGCACTACCTCAGCCGGGCCCCTAGAGTGCGCTGTGGCAGAAAGGAGCCACAGCTCTGTGAAGCCTTGTGGAGAGCAAGGGGTAGCTTGCAACTGCTGTTTCGAGGTACCCAAATTAAACTTAGAGCGTAAAGGTAAGGAAGCAGATGACCGGGGACACTGCAGGTGGGCCGTGGAGTCTTCCCCACCAAACTTTTATAGCGTTAGCACTGAGCAGCTACCGTCTCCTGATCACGTTAGCTACGACGGACTGCCATGCTGCTTCTACACAGAGATGACTGTACACAGAGGAAGCCCTAGTCATTACGCTGAAGATTGTTCGGTTAATGTACAGTATGCCCAGATGGACAGCGATGGCTGCATGGGACAGGGTTGCTGCGAGTTAGCGCAGCGGATACCCATAATTCCTGAGGATACAGACTGTGAATTAGGCTTGGGTCCAGAACCACAAACAAGTTTGCTCCCTCCTAGACTTCCTGTAGAGAGGAAGGAGAGAACTTCTGAGGAGCATTGTGACTTGTTTTTCACCTCAGGACAGTGTAGAGGTCAAGTTGAAGAGGCAAGAGCACTGTTTCCCTCGCAGGGTAGCGGCACGTCTGAAACACAAGGGGGCGGCAAAGCATCGTTTGATGGATCAGGGCTCTGATAGGAAGCCCCAACACAGCACAAGCTCTTGAAAATTTGTTGTTAAAGTGTACTTACCAGAAAGGGTTTGTTTCAAATTAAGATTTTGTTTTGGGGGTTTTTTCAGCATTGACCTTGTTCATTCCTGTGGCCTTCAGAATCTGTCACATCAACTCAATATTTATAGAAGGCGAAAGCACAAAGCTATATTTTCTTCATGCAACTCAAACTCAGAAATGTGAGTCATACGGAGCATCATGACAATATGCTTCTTTCTTGACTGGATTAGGACCAGGGAAAATGTCTGTAAATGTATATGACTAACTTTCACGTTTTTATGACAATTTAGATTATGCCTGAATTCCATGTTATTAGCTACGATGATTTGAATGATCCTTTTACACACATTTCATTCAGAATTGCATGCATGTGAGCAGCATGAAGTCATACAGCATGTACGTACATCTCAGTCAACTAAAGGAATTCATTTAGAGAAATAAAAACCAAAATGGGACACTACATCTCGAGGGAGTGCACAACAGGTGCTGAGGTAACTTCTCAGAAAACGTAACTAGGAATATCCCTCTTTCTCGTCACTTCTCAGGGCCTTTATCTTGTTAGTACAGAAACAGACCAATACAAAAGCTTTTATATATATATACTTTATCAATGGAGACTACTGAGCTACATATCACACCAAAGTTTAGTTTGTCTCCAGGGTACAGTCAAAACACCACTGGTAGAATTAGAACCTGACTACTCTAGGGTTAGAGGTGTAGGACGTCTAGTATTTGACCCCTAATAATTGTATTTTTTAAATTAAAGCTAACAGTTTGTCAGAAAGACGCCAAAGCATAACGGTTTAAAGAGATTGGAATGCAGTGGTGTATATATATATATCAAAAACCGCATAATTACCTTTAATAACTACACACTGCACTCATGCCTTTACACATGCGTCATCATATCATCATGCCTTTCTGTTTTTACAGAGTATTTTATACTGTTTCTATGAAATGTACCCATACAGCTTACACAGGCGATCATTTTAAAATAAATATTTATACGTAGACTAAAACGGTGCCGTATTAAGAATCTACTCTTGCCTTGCATAGAGATATGTATTGCAAATATAGCATTTTTTTGTTTGTTTTTCTGGGTACTTGAGTCACTATTTAAGATTT